GCGGGACTCTGGTTAGAAAAGGAATTGTTGGCGATTGGAAAAATCACTTTAACGAAGAACAAATTCGGATAACCGATTATGTAGGAAAAACATATTAACCTATCCCATGTTGAAATTTTTCTCCGTTGCGTGTCGCTTCGCGTTGAATTTTCGTCGATGTTAAGCCTAATGTAAACTTTTTAAAATAATAATCGTGGCTTTTGTATCGTTAAAAATTATTTCTTTATTTTTTACAAACGAAATAAATATATTGAAAAATATAAAAACAAAAAAAATTATACTTTAGAAGTTGATCTAGTATCAAAAACGTTCGATTGAGCATGACACACAGAAAAACACCACACAAAAGTGCCAGTGCTGCCAGCTAAAACACACACATCAACAAAAAAACTATTGGAGTAGCCCAAGATATAGCCACAGATTGCAGCGCCACAGCACTAGCGAAAATTTAAATTTGCCTACTGGAATTCTTTCGGATAACCGACTTTCGGATAAACGACGCTCTACTGTAGAATCGTGACGTCAACAACAAAGACGAGATCGTTACGAATGACCAGAATCGCCTCCAGTCGTTCGTAACCATCTCGTCTTTGACAACGTCGTCATTTGTCTCTGAAAGAAGAGACAAGGGATAATAATTCTGGCTTTTCAACTGACTTTTAAGAAGTATTTCTTTAGTTTGTTCTCGTAAACTTTGCCTTTTCTTATTACATTTTAAATAAAATTCAGATAATTTGTGTGATCCATCATTTGTCTATTGATTCGAAGAATGCCAGAAACTCGAGAATAGAACGAAGGCGAACAAATTAGAACGGAATTAAAAAAAAAAAAAAAACTTGGAAAATTCAAGCATCGCGTCATATGACGTCGTGTGACGTTTCTTGTTGTTTTATAATTCAAAATTCTTGTAAAAGTGTCAGAAATAAATTATAACAGTTTAAACATAATTTTCTAATATACAGTATGTTCTATTTCGTGCTGAATATAAAACTATTGTCTCTTGCGTATATAGACTAATGAACAACGGCTGTATTCTTGAGATAGTCTACAGAGTATGCATTACTTCTTGAATGAAACAGTTTAAAATTGTTAACATTTGATAACATTGACATAAGTAAGTAGCAAATGTTGAGGAGAATGCCTTTATACTTAATACTTATGCTTAGGTAGATCTTTATCTTCCACTCTAGAATTTTAATTATAATATAAGGAGGAACTAGAAATAATAAAAATTCAAATACTGTAAATCATAAACTCAACTGATATAGGTAGAATATATGAGATAGCATCTAATAAATTTTATGTACCTGTACAGTACACCATACATTAACCGTAACAATAACGTTTATTAAAAATTATTTGTAGAGCTTTAAAATTATGTACACTTTATAATAAAATTATTTCAATAGTGTGTGATAAGTCCTCCAGAGAGCCAAAAATTATTTTTAACAATGTATAATTAAGTAATAAGAAGAGAGTAATGCTTACCTTTTCAATATTTGATTTATCTATTTCAATTTTTTCCTCTTCATCTTGACTTTTTTCAAATTTACTGTCACTATTGTAAATGTAATTATAAATATTATTCTAAAATGTTGATTTGTTTGTTGTAATGATACTTACACAATTGAATCAACTGGAGGAATTATTACTGTTTTAAACTCTTTCAAATTACTTTCAGATTGTTTTTTCTGAATTGCTTTAATACTCATTTTCTTAAAAATGTAACAAATTATGTAAATAAGTTTTTAGTAAATTAAATTAAGCAAAACGAAAACTGCTCTTTGAATAACGAACACGAATATTTTAACTTTCGAATTAGAATTAACGAATTTGAATTTACGTCATAAAACGTATTGAAATAGTTTCAATAAAGTTTGCAAATTTTAACGAAATTTATTTTATAGTAATATTCTACAGATGCATTTGATCAAACTGTTATTATTTGATGATCATTATTTATAAATATTTTTTTTACTTTACAGAATTTTTCTTGAGATTCGTGCATTTTTTGAAATAATCTCTTTGGTTCAGTAATTCATTCGTTTATTAAAGTTTTTAAAATTTCTTTGGATATTTTATATTTTGCAAAATAAAGGCATTTTGCCACGGATAACAAAGTCTATCAAGAAAATAATTGATTTATTTAATATATAAAAGGAATTAACACAAAATCATTCTGATCTTCTTCCGTCAATGGCGGATTAAGTCTTCCAAATATCCTCTATTGATTGCAAAGTGATTTTATCTGTGAGGCTGGATCTCTCCCAAATTGAAGAGAGGTTTCAAATTTCTCTTCAATTTGGAAGAGGGGATATCCAGCTCCTACCAGGCGCGTCTTTCGTGTGGAGGATGAAGGAAGCCCTATTGGGTTACTCTGAATTAAATAATAATAATATGAAGAAGCCGTGGATGAAATTCTAAAATGTTATTTCCAGAAATAAAACCCAAATAAAACTTTAAAAAGAAGTAAGATTTGGAAAAATAGAAAGTGAATAAATCGTGTTAGTAGTTACAAGTTCTTAAGTAGGTGAAGTAGATTTTTACCTTAATACATTAACGAGGAGACACTTTGACCCTTTTTGTAAATCTAGATTTCAAATTTTCTTAGTAAGCATGAAATCTATTTTAAATATCTATATAAAAATGTAAATTTCTCTCTTCTATACAGCATATTTAATTCAATACGACGTTCGTAGAAAAGATTAAAATTTATTTTCTTTTTGTTTTCTCAAAGTATGTCAGGTCTCAAGTTCTTCGTAACAGATTAACCTGTCGGTTAAATAAATTATTATTAAAAGAAATTTAACTCAAATTTTTATTGGAAATGTTAATAATTTAAAAATAAACTTCTAATAAAAACTATTTGCTAAAACTTGATTAACAAATCATGAAGGACCTAGATTGGAATTCGATTCAGACTAAAGTTTTCTTGGATAAGTCAGATCGGGTTTTGGTCACTATTTTCACCTGTACTACCTGATTACTTGTAATCGGATAAACAAATAACTTATAAATCAAGACATTCAGAAAACTTATTACAGTCTCGTGCAACAAATCCAAATTTGTCTATTATGATTATATACTGTTGATAATTATATTTTTATTATCTTTAAATTATTTGAAAAATAGGCTAATATTTTTAAAATTATCAACACATATTACATAAACATAGAAATTAATATTTTGGATAAATTATTTTGTAAAATATTATAGAACATAATTTTAAAATTAACAAATCAGAAATCCAAATATACAATAGGCCTATATATACATAATGTATTTTTTTAAGAATAAAATGCTAGATCTTATACTATTAGAAATATCACATAAATTTATTATTGTATTTTACTAAAGAAATTATTAAAGTTTTTGGAGTCTAGTATGTTGCCTTTCATTTTTAATTGAGATCACCATAGATAGGAGCGTTTGAATCTTATATGGAGTCCAGAGAGGGCCTTTTGTCATTTTTTTCTTTTAATTAAAGAAATGAAATAAAAACACAGTGTTTCTTTATTAATAAGATCAGACTTAAACAATTATATTTTTTTGTTAGAAAAATAATATTAATTTATAGGACTAAAAACTATTATGGGCCTGTAAGTTTTCTTTGGGTCATTAAAAGGAAAAATTCTTAGCTCTCTCCTCTCGACGGCCCTGATCGTAGGCGTTAATAAAATTGGTATAGACTATATGAATTATGTTCGTCCAGCTAATAACCGACCGAATAATCGGTTTCGATCACCTTCAACCAAAAATTACTCTTTTGGTTAAAATAATCTGCATCGGACAAAATCAGGCGAAGCTCATTTAATGCATAAATGGCGAATTGCTATTGCTTGCCCGTGCACACGGTAATAGCGACAACAGACAGGCTTGCCCATTAACACATTCTAATTTTGTAATTTTGGCAAAATAATAATCTGTTTTATGAAAATATTAGATATAGTTTTTTGTAGAGAAAGGAATACAAACACCTTAAACAAAACGAATGTTGTGATTACGCCTTCAACTTTAAAATCTCAAACACAAGACACTAAAATCTTTATAACTCGCACGATAAAATACCGCCATCATCTGAATCAACAGATTCTGAAATACTATTTTTAAGCATACCTTTCTTACAAGAAATGCCAATATCTTTCATCACTGATCTTGCCTTATTACTACAGTAGAACCTCGATTATCCGGATCTCTATTATCCGGATTGTTCAAAATAAACAAAAATTTTACGAATTTTCTGATTTGCACTTGGCGAATTACGACACTGTTTATGTACGTGATGGAATGCATAACTTTTTTTGTTTCAACAACGTCACACCCAGCACAGTGGTTGTAAACTTTTAAATATATTTTACGTCGTAATAAAAATATAACTTGACATACGTATTTATAAATAATTTATATTCAAATTACATCATTTCTATGACCAAGAACGACGTAAGGCAAGGACGACGTATGCTTCGCGGTCCGAAGGGCCTCGCGCCTCGAAGGTTTATGCATTACTTAAAAGCCGCGAACGCGACAAAAAAATTTTACTCGTCATAAAACGATAAATAGTTTGTCAAACTTTTATTCATAAAAATGAAGTTTCAATTGCTTTTTATTTTATAAAATCCGTCTTCTTGCGCCACCAGAGGGCCTTTTAAACAATAGGTAGTCTGTTAGCGCTGGTCACTAGTAGTCCAAATTCAATACGAACGTTTTTCTTGAAAATTTGATCACGATTTAAATACAGTATTTATTTTTAATATTACCGATATATCATCGAAAAGAAAACGTGTTGTATTATCATTAAAAGTCAAATTAAAGTATTTGTTTCGATTATCCGAACTTTTCCTTATACGGATTACCTTCATCCCCAACTAGTCGGATAATCGAGGTTCTACTGTATTTGAAAAATGTAGCTAATTTACATGACGATAAACTTCTTCTTTTAATTAAATTATTTAATTTTGATTATCTAGTCATTGTTTGCTTAAAATGTTTTATATTTTCATTTCTTTAGTTTATTTAACTTTCTAAAGTGAAATTAATAGAACTGTCTGTTAGTTTTTAATTTATTTCTTTTCAATAAGAAACTATCTTAAAAAGCGCTGATCATGTTTTAGTTCATAGTTTTGAATAAAAATATGAGTTTGTTACGTTTGTAAAGGAATAAATGAATATTTTTAGTATACAAAAAACTAATGACAAAAAACTTAAAATAATTTAATAATATCTGACCTGTGTTAGTAGTAAGAATATTTTGAATTACAACTCTCAAAATATATCATTATTTTGTTCTGTGAAACTGCTAAAAATAGGATTTAATTTTGATTTCTTTTGCACTTTGAAATCAACTATGCAATCAACAAATGATGGCTTTTATGCGTAATGCTAAAACGTATGTCCATACGTCCATACGTTTTAGCATTACGCATTTTCCATACGTTTTAGCATTACGCATTTTCCATACGTTTTAGCAATTATCCATACGTTTTAGCATTACGCATTTTCTTATGTTTAACTTCGGCCGAAAATTTGCCGTTGGTCAGACACTAATTCCAACAAACGAATTGGACAATTTTCTGTTAATTAAATTAACAGAAAATTGTCCAACGTAAATTAAAACTGTTTTGTTACTCGTTTGTTAGATATTAATGCCAACGTTTTAATGGCCGTTGTGTAAATGCAATGTCATTATTATCATCCTTCCTAAGTGAAGCATAACGCTTTCTGATACGAATATCCAAAAATCTAACAGTTTAACGGATAAAATAAAAAAGTTTAACGCAACACAATTTTATAATATAAACACAAATATTAACAGTGATTTCTCTTTATGCAATTTAAGCAATGATATTAATGTCAACGTTTCTTGGAACAAACCAGTTCTGATTTACGAATTAATATTTCACTGAATTAACTAACCTATTTGTATCATGAAATGTCTTGTTTTTTAGATTGACAGTCTGACGTGCTATTTTATTCGTGTTTTATTGTTTTGTAAGATGAGGCTGAAAAAGCATTGCTGTATCTAACGTTTAAAATTTTGTAATCTTGTAAATTTGTGGATAAATAGGCCTAAATAAGGAAACATTGTCTAATCCGTTTGTTGCAACGAATGTATATTCATATATTATAACTAATACATATAAATACATATAAATTTCATGAAAATTTTAAAACGCTCTTCATCTGCATGACATACTCTATTAATTAGTTCATAAGAATTTCGTCAGTATTTTGTATTGAACTAAAGGCTTAAAAACTGTTTCTACAGCTGTTTTTCATTATTAATCTCAAGCTGATAAACTACATTCTTAACTTAATCCTAAACATATTTGTTCAAAATTTTCAAGTCGTTCTTAAGCATATATTTCATAGGACACTTTTGTTCATCTTGACCCTCTTAAAACATAATGAGAATTTTTAAAAAAATCTTTCTGAAACACCTCGTATGTATAATAATGTAATTAGTTAATCTGTTCATGAGCGACATTTTAAGTATGATTTATTCAAAAGCTTTTAAATCACGAAGTTACATATGCAATACAAAAGTGATTCTAGATTCATAGAAATTGTTGTGAAATGTTTGAGATTTCGTTTTTGTTTTTTTTTTATAGTAAAATCATTTTTTAGAGAAAATACAGTACTTTTAAATTTCATTTTATTATTTTAAGTGGAGATATGAGAATCGTAATGAATTAATCTATGTATAATTTATATTTATTATATATGTGAAAACATATCATGAAATTAACTTTCACAATACTAATCACGCATTTTATTTGTGTAAAATGCATAATTAGTACAGTACTGTATACTT